TGTCCCTCACATGTCTGTCCCTCTCCTGTCTGTCTCACCTGTCTGTCCCTCACATGTCTGTCCCTCTCCTGTCTGTCTCACCTGTCCCTCACCTGTCTGTCTCTCACATGTCTGTCTCTCACCTGTCTGTCCCTCACATGTCTGTCCCTCACATGTCTGTCCCTCTCCTGTCTGTTTCACATGTCTGTCTCACCTGTCCCTCACCAGTCTGTCCCTCACCTGCTCCTGATTTTACCTGTTTGTCTCACCTGTTTGTCTCACCTGTCTGTCTCACCTGTCTGTCTCACCTGTCCCTCACCTGCTCCTGATTTTACCTGTTTGTCTCACCTGTTTGTCTCACCTGTCTGTCTCACCTGTCTGTCTCACCTGTCCCTCACCTGCTCCTGATTTTACCTGTCTGTCTCACCTGTCTGTCTCACCTGTCTGTCTCACCTGTCTGTCTCACCTGTCCCTCACATGTCTGTCCCTCTCCTGTCTGTCTCACCTGTCCCTCACCTGCTCCTGATTTTACCTGTCTGTCTCACCTGTCCCTCACATGTCTGTCCCTCACATGTCTGTCCCTCACATGTCTGTCCCTCACCAGTCTGTCCCTCTCCAGTCTGTCTCACCTGTCCCTCACCTGTCTGTCCCTCTCCTGTCTGTCTCACCTGTCCCTCACCTGTCTGTCTCTCACCTGTCTGTCCCTCTCCTGTCTGTCTCACCTGTCCCTCACCTGTCTGTCCCTCAGGGGAGGCGTGTCCCTGGCAGTCCTCAGATGCTGCAGCTCAGTTTGGACGGACAGAGACTTTATGTGACCACGTCTCTGTACAGCGGTTGGGACAAACAGTTCTACCCTGACATGATAAGGTATTGACCCAGGACCTGGGTCTGATCAGAACCTGGATTCTGGGGTTCGGTTTATTAAACACTCTACTCCCTGAGGACCTGGTCCTGGTCCAGGTCCTGTCCTCACTCCTCTGTCTTTTTTTCAGAGACGGTTCTGTGATGATGCAGATCAATGTGGACTCAGAGCATGGTGGTCTGTCTTTGAATGAGGACTTCCTGGTGGACTTTGGGAAGGAACCGGATGGGCCAGTTCTGGCCCACGAGCTCCGGTATCCAGGAGGAGACTGCACCTCAGACATCTGGCTGTGAGGTCCAGCTGGACCTGCTGCTGGACCTGCTGCTTGAGGAGCCTAACCTTCAGCAGAGCTTTAAATCTGCAACATTCTACAAACTAAATGAATTTTCCATTTCAGGTTTTCTGTCCTGCTGTAGCAGCTGCTGCTGCTGCTGAATCTGAAAGCTTTCACAACACACATTTAAAATAATCAAAACATAAAAACAACATTTACCAGAAGATGAAATCAGCTGAGAGATGAGCTTAAAGAACAGAAGATTTCTGATTGATTCTGTCCTGAAACTGGAATTTCTTTCATTTTTATACATTTGCATGAAAATAAATTCTTCCTTCAAACATTTCCTGTTTGTGTCGTTTGATGGAGTCAGACTGAAACTGCTTTTGTTTTTGTTTGTCTCAAAACAAAAGGGCCTTCAGTCCCACTGGATCTAGACAAATATAGAGACACATGGACAGGTCTCAGTCACAGAGACAAAGACAGCAACCATTCAGCCTGTCACTCAGGGACTATACACTGCACCACTGTATCACTACACCACTGTATCACTGCACCACTGTATCACTGCACCACTGTATCACTGTATCACTGCACCACTGTATCACTGCACCACTGTATCACTACACCACTGTATCACTGCACCACTGTATCACTGCACCACTGTATCACTGTATCACTGCACCACTGTATCACTGCACCACTGTATCACTACACCACTGTATCACTACACCACTGTATCACTGTATCACT